TCATATTGTGGATGTTAAACTGCTGAGGATCTTGATTTCCTAGTAGGCTCTGCGCTCAGAGGTTTGACATTCTTATTTTCGTTACTGTGGGTGGGCACTGGGCTTTTCATTTCGTGACTGCTTGTGCTTGTGGGCTTCGACGGTCTTAACTTCTCAAATGTCTGCGGGCTTTGAGGTTCTAACACCTTCGAATTATGGTTATCACATTTCTAGTAAGTGCACATGAAATTGGCGTTCTTAAGTTCGTAGCAGTCTATGGGATTATGGTTACACGTTCTTTACTTGGGTCTCTGTTTTGAGGCTCTTGACTAACTCCTTGTCCATGTTGGCATTGGTGCTGAGGCTCTTAACTTCCTATTTGCCTTTGGGTGTTGAGGTTCTTGGCTCGTTGAGCGCGAAAGGATCGTGGAGTGTTTGTGGGTTTCGAGAGTCCCGGCTTCTTAAGTTAGGCCTTTTGGGTAAACAGGCTCGTACTTTCTAAACTGCTTAGAATAGTCCTCGGGAGCTGCGAGCTTGCGGTGACCCTGAACCCTAAACCCTTAACCCTTAACCCTCAACTTGCAGTGGTAGTGACATATAAGGGCCCAGAGAAGCCAAGCTGAGGCTCCGGGCAGAGATCGATCCAGAACCATAGAGAAGACCTGCCCGAGTGGAGACTTGATCACAACTGGTCACAATAGGATAGAAAACACTAGAATATACTAGACTGTAGGATACTACGCTATAATCTACTATAATTGATATGTTTAACGAAATCTACTTTGCAAAAGGAATATACGACGATGATATGCTAATCTAACATACTAATACAAGATACTGGTACGTGTAACACTGATATCATTCTCATCCGGGCCCTAAGCCCTAAACAAACCCTAAACCTTAAACCCCAACCCGAAAACCCTAAACCCTATAGGCTCTTAACTCTTAACTCTTAACCCTAAACTGCCTTTAACAATCTAAACCGTGAGCCCGAACCCTCACAGCCTAAACCCCCAAACACAGGGGCGTTTACAACGCCTGGGGTCCAATCCTAGGTTCCCCAGTAGCCCCTGAATAATAAGGGTACCCTTTTTCCTACTATTTGGTTTTGGTAAGGGAACCCAAAAAGAAAAAGGGCAAAAGGGTACTACTGGGGAACCTAGAATCAGCTTCCAGGGCTTCGGTCCCACGACATGACTGCTCCTGAACTTCGGTCGAACAGACCCAAAACCCTGAAATCCGACGTCCTAGACCCTAAACCCGAAAATCCGAAATCCTAAGATCCTAAACCCAAAACTCTTTAAAAAAAAAAACCCTAAAGTCCTCAACCCTAAAAACGAAGCCTTCTGCCTCTGAAAAAGATGGTGAGGACACTCTCTCTTCTGAGGGGGCTTGGAGATGCTTGGAGATCCGGCAGAAGGCTTTCGTCCAAAATGTTGCCAACTTCCCAGATGTTTGCCACCCGCCTTTCCGCAACAGTAGCGAGGAACGCTGACAGCAGGCCAGCTTCTTCAAAGCTTTGCTATCAGCATTATCGGGACATTAAATTCCAGTTCCAGTCACATGCAGAGTGAAACCTCGCACCCTCACCACAGCACGCATCCTGTCAGTGCCAGTCCCCATCCGCATTGGACAGTGGCCAAATGGGTGAAGTATGCACCCACGGCCCCAGTGATTGGTGTCAAGGTGTCTTGGCTGCCCCATATTACCTGGCATGACAAGTCGATACGCATGAACCCAAACGGTCAAGCGTTTTGGGGCTGAGGGTTAACTGCGAGGTTTTGTAAGACTTCTAGGGATTTCCCGGCCGCAGAGGTTTCATGAGGATTTTGCACGGGCTCCCTTGGAATTCTAGGTATTCTCGCGTCTACAATTGTCGAGTCACATGATGGAACCCTCAGGAATCGCGGTAGTAGAAGCAGCTATTTAGCGTGACACGACGAAACTAACGTTGCTCCTGAAGCTGCTAGACTCGACAGGTCCTGCCCTAAACCCTAAGGGCAGGGTCCGTTGCTTAGGGATTGAATACGTGCATCGGCTATCAAGATTTTGCTGGTGAACACGGGAACGATGCTTACGATTCCTAGGCAAGAAACGAAAATCCAGAACTGGTACGTCTCAATTCCTCCACAACCTGAATCCCCATCAACTCTCAAAAAAGGCCAATTCCAAGTCGTACAGATCGGCTTCGGTGCTAGGGGCTTAGACATGCGGACCACTCCTGTGCCCTTAGGAGGAGGGGACCACGGTTCGGGGTGTAGGCTATGCGTTCATCACCCGTTTCTCCCTGCGATGCAGGCTTGAGGGATTAAGGGTTCAGAGTTCACTTCCTCGTAGGGTGGCTGATGGTTATGATGGTGCTGACGGATTTGGCTTTCAGCGCTTTGCGTCCAAGGTTTGGGGTTTTAGCCTGCAGCAAGTACCAAGTTTCGATGCTGGCCCCCTCGGCAGGAGGTCCCAACGCTTCTTCGGTGGGACTCCTACTGCCCCGCAATTACAGTAATCTCTCGTTGGGCCTGGACCGCAAGTTGGACTAGATGCTGTTTGCAGCTCCAAATCCGGCTCAGGACATTTTGGCTCAAAGGCGCAAGGAAGGGTCGAAAATCCAGGCTTGGATGTCGCAGCTACTGAATTCTGCACGGCAGCTGTTTTCGGCCGCCAGGCATAGAAACTACGTCTTGCTCGTCATTGGCAATTTTGATGCAGCGCTTCTGGCACAGCTTCTCTGGCTGTTAAGAGGACTGAATCCGTGTCGAGATAGGGTCCGGATGGAGGACGTTGTGGGTTAAGTTATCACCGTGCGTGAAGGGCTGCAGAGACCGCACACACGCTGCTTTGTGGTGGCCCACGTGTGCGCAACTTAATAAAAGTCCTGGCTCCTTCCCTCCACTTCGGATTTGGGAGGCCCGAGCCTCCTTTAAAGGATCTTCCTAGAGCTTAAGGTTGAAGGCTGGTGGCATTCCTAGGCTTTCGGGCTCCATGTTCATGAAATCCTGGGATATTAGCGGCTGGGGCTACTGCTACCAGCTGCGCCGATCTCAGGATTGAAGACCTCCTTTTACCATTCTCATAACTACGAGAGCTCGTACCCTTCTGAACAACCACGGCATGTCTTCGACATGACATTCAGCAGTATCACTGTTGCTGCTGATCACTACACCTAGACTCTTACGTGAAGAGTGCAGGTGGGCTTGCATGGTTGCTTGCCGAACCTGCTCTACGTACAAGCCAACCCACCTGCATCCACCTTTCTGCACAGGTAGCACCCCGAACATCAAGCTTAAACCCACAGGTTGCTGTCTAGTTCAACCGACGGTGAACCTAGAATAGCCTAGACTTCACAGTAGAAGATGCATTGGCACACTTTTAGCACTACTGCTCCTGTTCCTGCTCTTTCTACTGCTACTGCTGCTGCTACTACCTCTACGACTACGAAAGACGACGACTACTATTGCTACAACTGCCGCTGCTACTGCTACTGCTTCGACGATGCCTACACTGCTACTTCATTATGTTTATGTCTCCTACTATGTCAACTACCAACATACAATTCCCACAATGCTCAGAACAAGTAAACACTCCAGCTGGCATTCTGAACAAACAGCTCGGAAGCTTCTCGTCCCACTTGGGTACTCGAATCCAGGAAGCCGGGAAGGAGAAGTGGATCGCTCAGACACCACCACCGGCTGAGAGGAGTCTACGAAGCTCATGCACACCTTCAGCCTGAGTGGCAGGGTTTACGGCGCAGGCACTATCCCTAAACCGTTAATACAACCGTTAACGAAGTTAACATTTTAGGGTTGACTGTCTGAGAGCGTGGCTCTCCAGCTTACAAGTTGACTTGCAAGTTAGTAGTTTTTTGAAAGCTGTATTGGAACAACGGGGTTCTAAAGTTAGGATTTAGGGTCTCGGGATTGGGGGTTGGGCTTCCGGTTCACGGTTCAGGATTCAGAGGAAGTTCAAGTTGACGGCAATGCTTTAGGGTTTGGGGGTTGAGGGTGTAGGGCCCTGCAGCAAGTCTTGTAGGAACGCTGACACTTGGTTTCAAAGCACAGTAGTAAGCCTGCGAGCGAGCGGGGCAGAGAGAGCGAGAGGGGGTGCGTGCATCAAACACACACACACACAGAGCGCGTGTGCACTTACGTACTTACTTTCTTTCTTACTTACTGACTTACTGACTTTACTTGCTTTACTTACTGAACCCCGAAGCCTTGAGAACGGACCTGCAGGTGCGACACTCGCGCCGCCGCACGGTGCGGCGCACCCGCCGACTGACTTGCTGCTGCGACGACGACTAGTCGCAAAGTTCGTTTCAATGACCATGAGCCACCCCCCAACCGCGGAGCCAAAATGCTAGAATGTCCAACTTGGCTAGTTTGCGTTTCTGGGGTCGGAAGTCGAGAGTAAGCTTCATGCAATGGAGCAGATTGAGCAGCTGGCCCGTGAACTGTAAACTGTGAACTATGGTCCTAGCCCCAAACTGCATAGCGCTAAGGGTCCATGTATCCATATGAGTATAGTTTGACCCTAAAGTACCTATATGTAGGGACTGATTTAAGACCAAAGTGTGTACTGTGGAGTACATGGACCCTCAGGGTAGTATAAGCCGTGGAACCTTCAGTCAACTGAAACTCATGAAAAGGCCTGGGACATGTGATTTCAGGTGTTGTCATCCTAAGCTCATGTCCTGTACGTATATCCTCGACCCGGACACCTGATTAGCCATAGAACCTGCAACGCGGAGCGCTGCACCCTTCCCCCAATCCCCATACTCACATCACCCAGCGCATCGAAGAAACACTGCGGCATTGGGCGGTACATCGATGTTGCCGGGCAACAACAACCACAACAAGGAGGGACAACAACAGAAGTAAGGGCTCAGGGCTTATCGACTACTGGAAAAAGTGACATACAGTGGCAGTGTGCGCAAGAATAAGTGTGCCACAGTTTCGCAGGGTGGACCTGTACATTCCCAGTCTACTGTCGCGGTCGAGGCTTGCAGGCATGGCACAGTCCGCTGCTCACAAGTACTGAGATCTCTTCGGTGGCTCCGGAGCAGGGACGAAGGCCTCGAAACAGTGCATCGTTGACGCTGATTCCGGCTTAAGTTCTCGTATATATGTCGGAATTTCTACGGGAGGTCTTCTGCACCGCCTTGTGCACAACACTACGAGACCCGACATGTTGTGTCTTCTCGGAACAGCTGCGCTTCAGTGATCCGGCGGGCAGCTACTGCGACGAACCACACGAAGCGACGATGTTCACAACAATGGCGGCGCACACTAAAAGGACGTGGCTCGCCAAGCTTGCTGGTGAGGGAGGTCGGCACGACCCGAAGGCACAGTAATTTCGGGAACCTTCCCTCAAACCTAAACCCCCCTAAAACCTCAAACATGAACTGCCTAAACGTGCCTAAACCCACCCTCAACGCTAACCCCTAAACCCTAACCATCAAACCTCAAACCTAAGCACACCTAAACCCGGATCTGCAACAACCTCTCCGTGCCAGCCTGTGCGGGCCGAGAGCCTGCGACCCAAGAGCCCAACTTCGCGGGTCCTCAGGTTTAGGCTTTAAGGGTTTAGGGTTTCAGGGTTTAAGGGCTTCGGCGTTTAGGGTTCAGGGGCTAGGGTTTAGGGTTTAGGGTTCAGGGTTTAAGGGTTTAGGGTTTAAGGGTTTACGGCTTTAGGGCATGGCGATGATGATGAAGGTTTACGGCCTAAAACGTTCTGTGCTTTTGAAACGAAGGCTCCGGATGATGCAATGAACCCACAACAAGCAAAAACGCCGGCCCGGCACAAATCGTAGTCTCTGGCTCTCTGGTACGTCCCTCCAACACCACAACAAAGACAGCCCATGCCCTACCGAATCGTACCCGTTAGGTATCTCGCGACATCATTTTCACAACGACAAAGACAGGCCCCCACTCATGACAAATCGTGCCCACGAAGATGAAAATTTTGGGACGTGATCCGGATAAAAGCTTCTGAGGTGGAGAACTAGCTTTTAAACCGAAATTTCTAATTCTTTGTACCTTCTTCACCAACCTCGAAAAGCTGACGGGTTTTTGAAGAAGGTTTCCAGTGCATGGCGTTTGAAAGAAGGATTAAATGAGTTTCAAGGCTGCTTGAAGGTTGTTTTGACGGGGGATGAAGGGGTGTTTAGAACCTGGTTAATTAAGAGGGTTCAAATTAAAGGAAGTGTGGTTTCAAAGGGTTTACAAGCAGATTCAATAGCAGGCGTGCTAAACCAGGTTTAAAGGAGGTTTGATTGTTTGGAACGTGATTAAGTGCTGAAGGGCCCGAAAATCCAAGAAAGGGCTCTGTAGCGCCTAAGAATTGCAAATCCAGAAACTGATTCGGAGAGGTGCTTCTAAACATGTTAAAGAATTATCAAACTATTTGGAAGAGGTTTGAAAGGTTACAAAAGCACCACATCAAACATGCAAAACTCGGTCAAGGCCTCTCAACACCCCAACACCCGTTCGAAACCCGATGGAATCCACTGAGCACTCGAACCTAAACCTTTGCTCAGACTATATTAATCTATACAGACTAACCCATAACCCTGAGATCTCAGGGAGCTTGCTGCCAAGAGGCGGTTCAGCCACGCAGGAACGTCTGCGACTTTCAAAAGTCCACAGACCTACCAGCATCTGTGATTGTGGGTGCCGACGCTGCGGCGAGGCTGGATGCGACATATACTGTGACTTGTGATACAGCAAAACGGCAGGCGCCGGGACTCGATTAGCAAATCTACGCATCAGGATTATTGACTATTGTGGATGGCATCCCCCGGACAGCAGCAAGACATTGAAAACAATCGGCGGGCCAGCCTGTTGGGCAAAGTCTATACAGTTGTTATGCAGCGGATGGTAATCCGGCCCACGCCACTGGCGCTCCTGTCGCTTTCACGCGTCGTTGCAAACATGCTTTCCCAGCTGACAACACATGCATATCTGCGTTGGAACTATGAACGGTCGGACACCGAAGGACAAAAGGCTGCTCTACGCACCGATACATTCTTGTTGCAGCACAGCAACGAGGCGTCTGTAAAGCACATCCAGCTCGTGCTTGGAGAGCATCGTTGAGCCCCTCCAGTAGGATCAAGGAAATACTGCCCAAGCGGGCTTCAACAACCCTTATCCGGTTGTTTCAACCAACACTGCATCTTCCCCACTTCAACGGAGCAGCCACTGCTTGAACAATTCCACAAGCTGGCAAGGTATGGGCTGCTCTTGGCAAGCCACAGCCCCAAGCCCACCCTTCATCCACAACGAGACCCCGACCTCCGAACACTCGAGCCCCAAAGCCCCGGGATCGAGGCTGCTGTTTCAGAATTTCACATCGGCTGACACTGGAAAGACATAAACTTCGGATGATCTGGCACGACAACAGGAATGTGAATACTAGTTCGGTCGGGCATCCTCTTTTGCGAGGAGCGGGCTTCTTCGTGGTGTTTCATGCAGGCTCAGATAGACGGTTGAGGCCTAGATGCCATAGATTGCATTGCCCCCTTGACAGGACGGGGAAAACTGTCTGCTTACTTGGAACAGTCGGAACCACTTTTGCCACTGCCGAGGCACACAACCAGGCTCCGGTTGAAGTGGTGCTGCTCCGCGCCGCGGGGCTGGTGGCGGCACACGCCGCTTCCAGCCGGAGCAGCTCCAAAAGCCCACCTTATGGCATAACCCTTGACTAAGCCGAAAGTCCGAAGATCTGAAGCTTCTTTCATTCTCGGCATATATGCTCGCAAATGCTGCCTTTCATCGTGGACGCTGGAAGCCCTGAAAGTTGTCAGGTCTGCACTGATTTTACCTCTTGCACAAGTCTTCGTGATGCCTCATTCCGCCTTCATGGTCTATACACTACCTCCATCATCCACCTAGAACGTCGACTCGCTATACTTTAGCAGCTCAGGCACTCCTCATCTCCCAGTTGCACCCCAACATGGAAGAGCCCGAAGAGCTGGATCTCGGATTCCGCAAGGACTCAAAGGACTGCTGGCTTGGAACCACTATTGCACTGCTAAGTTCACTTGTAGGGTTTAGGGTTCAGGGGTTTAGGTTTGGGGTTTAGGATTAACTACGTGCCATGCCGGCTCTCACGCCCAGGTGGCTTCCAGAAAAAAATGGCTCGCGCCATCGGTCCAAATTCGGCCTGGTCACCAGGCCATGCCTGTGGGCGAACAAGGTGTTGATCCATTGCACCTGGGAGATTCAGTGTGGTACCGAATCCATGGCAGGCAACGTGCAAAACTCTTTCACAAATTGGCATTCATTAAGGTCTGTTGTTACCGACCTCAAAAACTGTTCTCATGCCTTCGCTCATGCAGTCTTCAATCAGAAGCGCCATAGACCAGAGCAACGAGATAACAAAATCTGCTAGAAAACTCCACTTCTGAAACGAACTCCAAGGAACACCCGTTGACTGTGTCACATCGTAGATGTTCAAAACCACATCCGTGCCACAGACCTGGAGAGGACATCACCACTGGGGAGGTCGGGTTCGAATTTACGGCTCGGCATAATATCGGGACCTTGATATTCAGAATATGGCTTAGGGGCTCTCTGTTATAATCATAATCTACCGTGGGAACCCAGGCGGAATAATGCCTCGAGGCATGCAGGCCGCTACGATAATGACTACGTACATCCTAAGACCCTAAAGCCGTAGACCCGAAAACCCTGAAACCCAAAAGCCCTAAAATTCTTAAACAGTAAACATTAGCCCGAGGGTTAAATGTTACGAACCATCCAGGCCCCTACAGAAAGAGGGCTTGGTGCCGTTGGAAGGAGGGGTTTACTGAGTTATTTTGAAGGTTTATGGTTTAGGGTTCAGGGTTTAGGGTTGAGGGTTTAGGTTTCAGGGTTCCGGGTTTTGTTTAGGGTTTAGTGCTTTCTAGGGTGAGCGCTTGTTTCGCGGTACATGTCTGGGTAGCTGAACGCAGTGTTTCGCAAAACCACCAAGCATATTGGACCCTAAAACCTAAACCCTAAACCCCTAAACCCTAAACTCTAAACCCCTAAACCCTAAACCACAAAAAGCCCAAGACCCCCAAGAGCCCTGGCCTGATCCATGTCAGCTTCCTCTGCAGGGGCAGGGCTCTTTGGCCACTGCCCAGATACAGCGAACCCCCAAGGGAGCCTGACAGCTTCAATGAGGATTTCTATGGAATCTTCTACTGGGTTTAGGGGTTTAGTGTTTAGGATTGAGAGGTGAAGGGCTGAAGGTCTGAGGTTTAGGGTTTAGGCTTGTGGGTGGTTGAGTTCGGAGGGAGTGTAGGCCTTGGGGATAGTTAGAGCTTCAGGGGACTTCAGAGAAAAAACTACGGATGTAAGCACCAAGCAGCTGAAACTGTTTGGGTGTTATGAAACTGGGCCCTCTGCTCAAGAACGCGTTTAGGGCCACGGTGCAGGGCCAAGATGTTGGTTCAGGTGCAGGCTTTACGCTTGCTTTCGGGTCGAAAAGCTTAGGGCTTAAGGCCGGGATGTCAGGCTTAGGGCTTCTCTCCGACTACGGATACAGGGACTCGAAGCGACTGGCGGTACATCTTAGCACTGAGAATTCGAGGTGCAGCTTTGGTGAAGGTTCCGGGTTTCGTATACGGGGTAGAGTTTGAGGCTCACTGGCGCGGGGTTTTTGCTTGGGCTTTCGACTCAGGGCGGAAGGATGTATATATCCAAGAACCTTCGCCCTAAAGCGTTGGACGGCTCAAGCAGGCACACGAACAGCGGAAATAATGACATGTAACAAGGTAACATAAAGCCTGACTAAAAAACATCATCTGATCAGCTGCAGCCACCATCTTCTTCTGCCTCCGACTCACCAATCCACAAGAAAGACTATCTGCAGTCGAGCTGCTGCCTAAGATCATCTGCAGTGCGGTGTTCATCTCGTAGCAATGAACTCTCTTCACTTGGGTCCTTCACAGTCAGAATGGGAACCCGAACGTAAACCGCTAAGCTGGGGTATCTCCGAGCTATCCGGGACCCCAATATTGGGAGGACTCTGGTGCTTGAGGGCATGCAGGGGACGACTCAGAAGTTCACGCGACTTAGCAGAGGAAGGTTCCACGTGAAGTTATCACTATGCATACCCAAGGAGCGTACACAGCCCAACAACCTATTTCTCAAGATAAAGGATCCTGCAAGCACGCCCCCTAAACCTTCGACGGACCTAGGGCTTCGCAGGAGCTGAAAGGTGTCAGGCCTTGCTGCTCTCTTCGAGTTCACGGGTTTAGGAGTTTGGGCGTTTAAGGGTTAGGGGGTTCGGAAGACAGAAGAGTAATCCGCGACACCATCCCCAACGAAGGCTGCGATTGATTTTGGCACCTACATTCTGTTGCTTTGCCCCAACATCTGGAAAGCACGCCCCTCAGGGCCCGAAACCACTGCCCCGAGTTGGGAGGTTTCAGAGTGACGGCTTTGGCTTCTTGTAGTGCAGGGGTTAGGGTTTAGGGTTTAGGGTTTAGGGTTCAGGGTTTAGGGTTTAGGGTTTAGGCAGGCTTAGTTGTCCAGTCTAAAGGCTTCAAGCATCTGAGCCTCTCTCTTGTGCACATCAAACCTGGCATGTTCCCTGACCTCTGCTTCTCGTACCCTGAACCCTAAACCTTAGCTCCCTTACCCAGAAAACCCTCGACGCTTCTAAGACCTTGCGTAAATGCCAAAAAGTTGCAAGTCGGCAGCTCAAACTGGAGTGTTTATGGTTCATATTGAAAGTCGAGCCCTGCCTTCTTCCCAAGGCCTTTTGGAAATCCCGGAACGGAACCCTACAAAAACAGCCCTCTCTCAACTTATGGTTGCGTTCTGCTTAGATCCCTTTCCGGCTGCGGGTCTACATCCTTGCTCAGTGGTTTGGGGCATGAGGCTTACGGTGCTAGTGGGTCCTAAGGTTGAACATGGAGGCTTTTGGGGTGTGCGGTCTTAACAATTATGGTCTAGGTGACGGTTTAGGGTTTAGGGGAGTCTCTTAGTTTCAACAACCCAGGCCTGATCCACACCAGGGGCAGAACCCTTTGCTAAACTTATGCCCTAAATCCCTACACGGCAATAAACCCTAAGCCCTCAGGGATCTAGCCTAATCACGAGAACCTGAGCCCCAAAACCCTAAACCGTAAACCCTAAACCCCAAACCCCTCCGTTATCGAGCCCCGGCCTCATCTTCCATGTCCGACTCGTCGCCAGTTGAAGAAGGGCTCGTTGGCACCTTCCAGGAGACATCGAACCTGCAAGGCGAAAGGCTTTAGGGTTTAGGGTTTAGGGTTTAGGGTTACCTGATTGCCTTGATGGGGATTTCTATAGAGCCTTGTGGGGTTTTTGGAGTCGTTGAGTTTCGGGGTTCGGGGTTTGGGCATGTTTAGAAGCTAAGGGGGGTTTGGGCATGTTTAGAAGCTAAGGGGCACCTAGCACAAGACTGTTACAAGGGGGGTTACAAGTTCTTGGTGACAACCCAACGCCAGATTACGACCGACATGCTAGACCGAAAGTTGGAAAATGGATCACGGATGAGTAGTGCCAGGATTCCCTGTGCATGTTCACCGCAAACCGTGCTTCATCTACACGGCATGAGGTTTGGGGTTTATGGTTTAGGGCTTAGGGGAATTATCCTTGCTTCAACTTCCTGGCTCCAAGCGCCACAATGCCGGGTCTGGCGAATCAAAACTTACGGTGTAGGATTCAGATTTGGGAGCAGTCGGAATAAGGTTTCAGGCCGCAGTCTCTGAAACGTAACGTAACCAAGAGAGCTGATCATATCTGGCCAAATATTCAGGCTCGCACAGCTCTTGGGGCTTTAGCCTCTAGGTCTACGACACTATGCCTGGGTATGAGGGCATTGAAGCCTGTTTTGGGCTTGGTGTTCGGCGTTCTGTGCATGGGTGCCAGCGGCGTCGGGCTTTGTTCGGCTACCTGAACTCATAGGATCTCTTCCAGAGCTCCGTTGCTCTTTTACGGTTCAGGGGCTCAGGGTTCAGGGGCGTTTGTTCCGATTTGGCGGATGACGGGCCTTTGGAGTCTTAGGCTTTGGGGTTTAGGGGTTTAGGGTTTAGGGGTTTAGGGTTTCGGGGTTCAGGGTTTAGGGTTTAGGGTTTAGGGTTTAGGGTTTAGGGTTCAGAGTTTAGGGTTTAGGGTATAGATGTTTAGGATTT